AGCAGGAATATTTTCCCTGTGGAGGGAAGAGGGGGGTAAACAACAACTTGCAACACAGAAAAGGAAACATGTTCACTTAGTAGGGTGACAAGATGGGTCAGTAGCAGAGTTGGAAGCAGCGTATCATCTTGCTCCTCAAATGGATCCATTGTTTCAAGGGAGCTACGTAGCCCTTCACAAGAATTTAGACTATTTGTGGGCCAGATATCGAACTCTTACATTAGTGAGTAGTTTCTAGCACACTTGACATTGCTGACAGTATAGTTCCTCACCAGTATAAGTGTGAGGCTTCACAGTTTGGCCCATATTTATTAGAGCTCAAGGAGGAACAGTCAGTATTGCCCTGGAAAGATGTGGGCAGTGGAGTTCCACAAGGTTTGGTCCATGGACCACTGCTATTCAATGTCTTCATCAATGACTTGGATGAGGGCATGGAGGACAGCCTGTCCAAGATCGCAGATGATACCAAATTCTGGAGCAAAGTTAACACATCAGAGGGTAGGGAACAGATGCAGTCAGATCTGGACAGGTTGGAAAAATGGCCCGAACGAAATAGGATGCAGTTCTTCACAGTAAGGGTTGCCAGAATCTAGAATGGGCTTGCAAAGGAGGTGGTGCTCTCCCCTACCTTGGGGGTCTTCAAGAGGAGACTGGAGAAGCCCCTGGCTGGGGTCGTGTGACTTCAGCACTCTTTTCTGCCCAGGGCAGAGGGTCAGACTCAATGACCTACTGAAGTCCCTTCCAACCCAAACATCTATGAATCTGTGAATCTATGAAAGGAAGCCTCTTCTCTGCCTTTATTCATGCTGACTAGTACTTTACTCTAAAATCCATTCCTTTGATTTCATTGCAGAAGGCAGCTATCGTAGACAAAAGCCTGCTTCATCGGATGCTACGAATGGACTTGGAGAAAGCAGAGGTTCTAAACAGAAGAGAATTAAACCAGAAAAGAAAGATATATGTTTGATTTCACTACAACTGTCTGCAAAGCAAGATGCTACCTGTGCTCAGGGAGGTGGGCTGACTTTGGCATAGACAAGTAAGTGAACACATTCCACAATGGTTTTTTGCAAAGTGTACTTACGGTTCGCTGGGCATCCGTCACCATGTACAAAGCGAACTGGTTGCCATCCGCTTTGTCACCATTATATTTTCTGAGGGCTAGATCAACAGCTTCGAAGACTTCAGGATGGTCACAGTCTACATCCTCAGAGGGGAGTGGGCTGGCTCTGCTCGAGAATGAACTGCAGCAGAGCAGTAGCACAATGAAAAATTTCATATCTGAGCATCAACTTGGGGGACTCTTTCGAAAGACGAACACAATAGAATGAATGTCTGTTAGAGATTTAGTAACCTCTTCCTCTGTTTTTCAGAGGCTTGAGCCAAGCAATCAGAGTGGGCGTGCTGATCAACTGGTGGATTCCCATCATATCCTATTTACACTGCAAATAGCCCCTTGGGTTTATCCAAACAAAGTTTGTGCAGTCATCAGAATGACCCCAAGGTTGTCCACCTGCCATCAAGATAATAGGATAAGCCTCGGCAGCTGGTGTAACAAGGTCAGCATCAGCAGCATGAGTCCCTGAGCCCACAAAAAGCTTTAGAAACCTTGGTATCCTCAAATGGATCCATTGTTTCAAGGGAGCTAAGTAGTCCATCCATATGTGAGACCTCTCCTCCCATGAACAAGAATTAAGACTATTTGTAGGCCTGATATTGAACTCTTACATTAGTGAGTAGTTTCTAGCACACTTGACATTGCTGATAGTATAGTTGCTCACCAATATAAGTGTAAGGCTTCACAGTTTGGCCCATATTTATTAGAGCTCAAGGAGGAAAGTTTGATATTGCCCTGGAAAGATGCGGGCAGTGGAGTCCCACAAGGCTCAGTCCATGGACCGGTGCTATTCAATGTCTTCATCAATGACTTGGATGAGGGCATGGAGGACAGCCTGTCCAAGATCGCAGATGATACCAAATTCTGGAGCAAAGTTAACACATCAGAGGGTAGGGAACAGATGCAGTCAGATCTGGACAGGTTGGAAAAATGGCCCGAACGAAATAGGATGCAGTTCAACAAAGACAAGTGCAAAGTGCTGCACATGGGCAAAAAGAACCACCAACACACTTCGAGGCCAGGGGATGACCTCAGCAGCACAGGAGTGGAAAGAGATCTTGGAGTCATAGTTGACTCCAAGATGAACATGAGTCATCAATGTGATGAAGTGATGAACAAGGCTAGCTGCACTTTATCATGCATTAGCAGATGCATGACGAACAGGTCCAGGGAGGTGATGCGTCCCCTTTTATGCCGCACCTGTCAGATCACAGTTGGAGTACTGCATCCAGTTTTGGGCGCCGCACTTCAAGAGAGAGGTGGAGACTCTTGAGAGGGTCCAGAGGAGGGACACTCATCTGGTTAGAGGCCTGCAGGCAAGGCCCTACAAGGAGAGGCTGAGGGACCTAGATCTCTTCAGTCTTTGCAAGAGAAGGCTGAGAGGTGATCTTGTGACTGCCCATAAATTTATCAGGGGAGGGCAGCAGGGAATAGGAGATGCTGCATTTGCTAGGGCACCGCCTGGAGCAACTAGGAACAATGGCCACAAATTGAGGGAGAGCAGATTTAGGTTGGACATTAGAAAGAACTTCTTCACAGTAAGGGTTGCCAGAATCTAGAATGGGCTTGCAAAGGAGGTGGTGCTCTCCCCTACCTTGGGGGTTTCAAGAGGAGACTGGAGAAGCCCCTGGCTGGGGTCATGTGACCCAGCTCTCTTTCCTGCCCAGGGCAGAGGGTCAGACTCAATGACCTACTGAAGTCGTTCCAACCCAAACATCTATAAATCTGTGAATCTATGAAAGAAAGCCTCTTCTCTGCCTTTATTCATGCTGACTAGTACTTTACTCTAAAATCCATTCCTTTGATTTCATTGCAGAAGGCAGCTATCATACACAAAAGCCTGCTTCATTGGATGCTACGAATGGACTTGGAGCAAGCAGAGGTTCTAAACAGAAGAGAATTAAACCACAAAAGAAAGATATATATTTGATTTCACTACAACTGTCTGCAAAGCAAGATGCTACCTGTGCTCAGGGAGGTGGGCTGACTTTGGCATAGACAAGTAAGTGAACACATTCCACAATGGTTTTTTGCAAAGTGTACTTACGGTTCGCTGGGCATCCGTCACCATGTACAAAGCGAACTGGTTGCCATCCGCTTTGTCACCATTATATTTTCTGAGGGCTAGATCAACAGCTTCGAAGACTTCAGGATGGTCACAGTCTACATCCTCAGAGGGGAGTGGGCTGGCTCTGCTCGAGAATGAACTGCAGCAGAGCAGTAGCACAATGAAAAATTTCATATCTGAGCGTCAACTTGGGGGACTCTTTCAAAAGACGAACACAATAGAATGAATGTCTGTTAGAGATTTAGTAACCTCTTCCTCTGTTTTTCAGAGGCTTGAGCCAAGCAATCAGAGTGGGCGTGCTGATCAACTGGTGGATTCCCGTCATATCCTATTTACACTGCAAATAGCCCCTTGGGTTTATCCAAACAAAGTTTGTGCAGTCATCAGAATGACCCCAAGGTTGTCCACCTGCCATCAAGATAATAGGATAAGCCTCGGCCGCTGGTGTAATAAGGTACAGTATGATCCCTTGAGCCCACAGAAAGCTTTAAAAAACCTTGGTAGGCCTCTAGGTCCTGGTTAATTTTTCACATCTAACAACCCACTCTGAATGAATCAGAACAGGAGGCCTAAAGAGAAAGACCTAAGCAGGCCACAGTGTTTCACTGAGATAATGAAGTGCTGGCTCTAGACAGTGACACCGTGAACATAAATGATCTGTTTAATATTCAGAATGCAGAAGTCCTAGAAAATCAGCGTATGTTGCAAACATGTCTGCAGAAACGTGTATCAGTGAGCATCTAGCTCTTTGATGGCTCTTTACAGTTCTTTACTTTGTAATCGAAACTGCTAATATGCCAACCCTTACAACCTAGTGGAATGTGCAGCTGGTGATAAACTTATTAATACTCATCCCTGCACAATACAGTCGATAAGCATTAGTCAGTAATCTGGGAAACTGAGGCACAGTGAGGTGATGTGCCTGTCCTTGATGCCACTCAGTGAAACTGGGGTGGAGCCAGCATTAGAAATAGCTGCTAATAGTCATGCCAGCTACCAAACGACCTGATCTCTGAGCCCTGAACTCATCATGAATGGCTAGGCTCTGCTTGCAGTCCTATGATATATTTTAGTTAGAGTCCTCTGTTAATAACACACAAAGAAGAACCTTTGGGAAAAGAAAGTTATTAAGGTATCAAAGTCAAGCACTAATATTTGTGGGATGCCAGAATTAAAGTTGGCTATCCAGCCTTAGTTCAGCCCCTTGTATGTGTGCAGTCCGAGATGGTCTTGAATTATACAGCCGCGTACCAGTCCATGGGAACCCTGCCTCGGAAAGGACCGTGCTCACTAAGCAGGCAGCTATTCAGTATTTTGCTTCCTCCTTGTTGTGTGTGGGCCCCATGCTGTATTTACTGCATATTGCTCTGAAAACAGAATGATTCATTTCCTCGTGGGACTTTTTATGGTGTTCATCAGCCTTTACAAGCATTCAACAAACTTTAAACCTGTTAGATGAAAGGGTTTTTATTGTTATCTCCTTTTTATGTGGGCGGGGAACTGAGATGCAAAGATGCTAAGTGTGCTTACAGATATGGAAAAACAAAAACAGTGCTTTGCTTTCAGCTCAGCACATACTGAGCACAGCACTTGCCCAGAAGAGGAATTGAGTAATTTTGACTCAATTCACCCTACATCCGTATAGCTCATAGACTTCAGTGGGGCTTTTTGGCACTTTTATCTAACATTTTATTTTAAATGCTATGTTTGTTCTGATTCAGAATGAAAACAAATGGTTAAATAAGGGAAATAGAGAAATTATAGTCCACCTAGTGTACCAACATAAATTAAGCTTGTGCAACCTAAATATAGGTATTTTCTAACTTTGAGTTACTTGGCTTTTCTCAAGACTCTTTTAATGTAGCTTTTTAATTTACATTCTTAATATTTTTCAAAGCTCAAACACTGAATGAATGAAAAAATCATCTTATGGTGCTAAACAGCCCCCCTGCTGCATGGATCATCAATACGGTTGAGATCTTAAGATCCATAGTGCGGTGTCCTACTATCTGTATTAATATAGTATCTGAGTGTTGCCTGAACTTGTGTGTTTATGTCATACCACATTGCAGTTGGTATTTTTCAGTTTTTCAAGTGTTGCTTCTGCTTCCCTTGCCACTAATTGATGCAATCCCCCTAGTTGGGGAGGGAAATCCTCTTGTGGATACAAGCCCTTCTGTCTTGGTCTCTCCGACTTAATTCTGTTCCCTTCAGCTCCTTTTCCTTTCCCCAGTTCTTGCCCCTTTCCAGTCCATTGTGACTATTGCCTCAGCTCCTGCCCCTTTCTTCCATCTGCACCCATTTCCTTCTGTCTGCTCCTGTCTTTGGTCTCTGGCCCATGTCCCCCAACCCCTATTTGTGTCCTTTCAACTTCCATGGCTTCTGTCCCTCTTCCTAGTTTCTGTTCCTCACTCCCTTCCCTTCCATGATATTATTCTGCCTCCTCGTTGACAAGCTCCTGCTCCTGTCTTCCCACACTCTGCAACTTTTCCAACCTAATCCCAATGTTCTTCATCGGCCTGTACCTGTTCTTCTCCCTTCTGCACATGCATCAGCAACAGGAGCATAGTGAGAACAGAACAGACCCGCTTCTTGCTCTTGATGCTGTTGCAGGTGACACTGCAGCTCCAGCAGGTGGGAGGAGCGATTACCAGCAATGTCCTAATCAACTTTTGCAACCCTGGGCTAAGGGGCGGCTCGTGTGAGGCAGGGCTGTGCACTGATGCAGTCGCACCTCGTTTAATTCCCGCTGCACAGTTGCCTGGCAGTGGCAGCAGCATTGCTGTTAAGGCAGCAGTGAGAGCATCAGTTGTATCGATGGCACATTAAAATCTACCTGATGCCTTCTAAACTTTTCATTCACAAGTGTTAATGACCCTCTCTCCTTTGTAAAGGTCTTGATGTTCCACTAATTAAGCTAGCCTTTCTTCTGTAGTTCTATTGTCTGTCAGGTGCTCTTGGTAATATAGCTCCTATTTTGTAGCCCTGCAGACTGTTCTTAGCTCATGCCAATTAAGTTTTATTTGTTCTTTGCTTCAGAGATTAACATAATGGTACAGCCCTATTTCCCTTGCATGTTAGTAAAGTTTTCAGCTTCTTTCTACCTGGAGAAAAATAGATACTGTGTAACAGGATGATGCACCACATGTACCACCTTTCCAAATCCTAGATCTCCCCATGTCTGGGCTGGGACATGCTTGGTAGAGATGAAATCTTAGAGAATATAGCTGCTAATCACTAACCAACCTCTCTTAAGTACATGCAAACTCCAGTTATTTAGAGACTTCTTTCTCAGGCAGAATTTGGTGGATTTTCATGAGTGTGGGGCATGGACCATGGAGGAAGCCCCCTGCCAACTCTCAAATTCCTGAATGAAACCATGGGAATACTAAGACTTAGCGAAAGAGGCGTATGAATTTTTAACATGGCAAAAAATGTGTTTTCCTTAATATTATACATGCAAATAAGTGGAACAGTTTAGCTAAAACCTACAAAAAATATTCTGGGTTTGGTAGACACCCAGAATAGAAAATTTCTGCTGAGCTACAAGCAAATAGTTTGCAACAGAAAACACAGTCTTAGGATGGAAGGTGTCAGATATCTTAAGCACCCCATACTGTCCGTTAGCCTGTTCTCAGACCTGTGGTACCTGTGAACCACTCCCAAAGGAAAAGCTGTTAGTTGCTGTGATTATGCTGTACAGCAAATATTCTACATAGCAGAAATAGTTTTGCTGCTCTGGAAATGCGTTCCAGCTGGGACTTGCTTAAGAGATGATGTTTTATCTGGGTTTCTGTGACTTCTCCTTCCAATGTCTCCTCCAAGAAAGCAACTATATGGTAAAGAATTGGAGATTATGTTAATAGGAGTAAAGAAATCCACAAGTAAAACATTTATATTTTATTGTTTTTCAATTGTCAGTCCAGCAGATGATTTTAAATATTTAAGGGAAGGGGCCTTGTCCTATTTCACAGTGTGAGCTGCTTTCCTCACCCTACAGTTATCCTTTGACTAGGTTCCCTCAGATCATTCCCAGAATTCTTTGTACCAGTCCCCATAGTATTTTAAACTTAGCACAGTGGGCGTGAGTGTAATACTTTTGGTGTATGAGAAAAAGGACTCACAAATACCTAAATCAATTCACTTCACTGGAAGATTGGAGAAAGAAACCCACGGTTTCCTCTCACTGTTGCTTGTTCTACAGCAGTGTCACACAGATTTCAGTGGACTCACTCCTAACGAGCACCCTTGTGAGGGGTGAATCAGGTATTGAGATTGCCTTGTGCTCTTTGTTCTCAGGATTTGCTAGTGACCTTCTTGAGTATTGTAGGTAACAGTGTGGAAACCATTCTTCTAAGAAATGTTTTGGCTTCCAAAGAAGATAATTGTATAATTTTCTATCTTTGGCCTCAAAAAATGGATCACAGACTGTTCATATTAAAAGGATAAAGCACCCACAAGGTCAAAATCATCCACATCAATATTGATAGTTGAAGGTTTTTCTGATGCTGAATTGGCCTTTTCTGATGCATGAGGTTAAAGATCCTCATTTGTAAATAATCTGGGCTATTCAGAAGGATTTGTGAGTTGCATAACTGATTTCCATGGCTTTCCAGGACACTTGGGAACAGGGGATTCTGGGTGATCTGGAAGCTCATGAAATAAAGAAATATCAGGAGTAGTTTCAACAGTTGCAGGGCTAACTGGTTCTACAGGGATATCAGGGGTAGAAGAATCATCTCTTGGACCCACTGTAACTGCAGGAGTAGTTAATGCATCTGACTGGAATAGACCTTCATCTACGCTTGGTGGCTGGCTTTCCCTTTGGCAAGGGACCTTTTCCTCCGATTCTTCAGAGGACTTGTCTTTGGAGTCTTTATGTTTGTCCTTCTTATGATGTTTTTTATGCCCGCACCCAATTTCATGCCCTCTTTTATGCCCAGGTCTGTGCTTAAACTGATGTCCATGGCCATGTTCATGACTGCATGAACCAACCCTACATGCATGCCCTGCCCTTTGTCCATCCTCATTTGCTCGTCCAGGCCCAATTTCATGCTCCATAGAAGATCGGAAAGGGGTAAAGCCGTTACGATAGCCATAATGACCCTGAAAGGAAATGGCAGATATTTAGACAAAGAGATTACGGTAATTTAATGATTAGTACATAGTACACTATTTGGAACAAACTGTTTGTATTCCGTTTGAGGTTCCAGTGTAAAATGTTAAACAAGTATGTTTAAAGAGCTGGTGGAGAGAGGGAGTTTTCTGGATTGCCTGACCTCAGTGCATTAGTTTCAAATATTTGAGAACCAGCAAACTATAGCTGAGGTATAAATGTGAGCCAGTTAACAAAAATGTTTTACCAGGTCTTCTGGGCTAAATTAGATGATCTTATCCATCTATGGTCTAAATGCAAATAATATAACTATATAGAACCATTCCTCCAGAAATATTCCAAAATTGTTGGGAAATTATAAGTAAAGAAATCTCTTTATCTATTACTGATTTAGCTGCTTTTACCACAGAAAAGGACTGTGCGGCATAGCCCAATCAGATGACTCTTTGTAAGTGTGTATATTAGGTCTCATTTGTGAACAATTTTGGAACTAAAGTACCCTAGGCATAGTCATAAGATATCATATCAAGGAGAAAAAACAATGTGCTAATTCATGTCAAATGCTAGTTTCAATAGAGGCATGAAGCAAAAACCTGGCTCATTTTATTTTGTGAAGTACTACTTAATGATTTTTTAGTTGTCAGATTGGAACTATATATATTTGTAACTAGTGGAAGATAATTAGCATAGGTTAATGTCTACACAATCACGCCCTGCCCCACTATGTATTTAACAATAGGTGATCAACACAGAGCTTTGCTTCGTACAGTAATGTAGAAAACCCTTTATAAGAATCTCTTTTCATCTAACCAACAGAGACTTATTGCTCTTCTGACATCAACTATCTAACATGGTTTAGTTCCTGCTCATTAGAACAGCTGGACCTTATTAAGCCACTGTTCGAGGAAACCTAGGGTGAAACCATATTTGAAAACCAATGCCAAATTCAATATGGTCTGTAGTGTAGACATGATTCAAGTGGTCATGTTCACCCAGTACACATATCCTGGATGTGATGAAGCTACTGAGCCCAATAAGAGTGTTGAGTACTGAATCATTTGCAGGCTTGTTCGGTTTTCTATTTCTGGCCTCACAGGTATAAATAAAAAAAAAAAATCAAAGTGTTTGACTTGATATCCCTGTTTTGTGACCACCAAACACTTACCTAGATATAGGGGCTGGTAACGGTGGAATGGGGGGATGTGGAAACTGCTGCTTCAGAAAAAACAACTATCTACTCCCCGGCTAATAAACACAGATTAGCAGACATTTTTGAGATTTTTGAACTCCTGGGGCATGTCCATACAAGCCTGCACATGTGCTATGCAGCTCTGCAAACCTGTTTTTAGTGGTGAAAACCACACATAGCAAATATAACACTGTACACCATACTGAAAATTTGCAGCACAGTGTCAATATTTGATACTGGGATGTCCTTGTCCTGGTATCGCAAAAGTAAACGGCTGCACAAAGCGGCATGGAGCACACAGCAGTAGCATGTGTCACCAGAAAAGGAACTTGGCTGCCCACAGCTATGCTCTGGTGGCCAGCCAGGCTCTATGCAGCTGGATTGGCGGTGCGGGGGTCGATAATCCTCAGCACCTCATGAATTTGAGTTTGACAGCAAAAGCAAAGGAGCAGGCATCCAATCACCAAAACAGTGTCTACGTATTCTGCTGCTTCCTTCTGCATCTTCTGTTCTTTCTCATGTAGGCCAGGATATCATACATTACCTGAGTTCAGCCTATGTGTCACAAAGCCACCAGAGTTACAGGGTGAGCAGACAGTTCATGACATTACTAACATGACAGCAAGTAAGCATTTCCCTCCTATCACTATAGAACAAATCAGAGCTAATCTGAGAACTGGATGGATAGAGGAAAGCAAATATTTCTCCACTACACAGAGTGCATTTACACGTGTGCCCAACTGGGCAGTCACGTAGTACTCGTGGCTACCGCGACGTTGCATCTCATATAGAAGACCCTCCTCCCCTGCTACTTACTGTGCTGCAAGTAGGCTGAAATGGAAGAAAAATTTATTTAGGATTCGTACCATTAACGCTGCACTGCAGTTAACCTGAGGGAAGATTTCCTGCTTCCATGGCACCACATATATATTTGCTGTGCACTCTAACGGCATCTGTGAGCAAAGCAGAAAGGAAACATGAGGTTTTAAATCAACAAAGTATTACAAAGAATCAGAATTGTGTGTGCGTAATGATACAGCTTTTTAATGATACTTTTAAACACAATGAATAGGGAATTTATATGCACATCTATAAAATGTATTTGTCATAACTATGGAAGTTCCTCTACTGGAAAACTTCCTCATTTAGTTTTATTTAGATTTAGGAAGCTTTCATGGATCATACAATTGAACACCCAACAATAATTTGTAGCACTTTTAATGTCCAACGCTTTACAAGATTAAGTAGTTAATTCTCCCAAAAGCTGTGAGAGGTAGGGAAGTATTAATGTTGTTATCCCTATGTAAAATGGGTAAATTGAGGTAGACAGGGATTAAGGCTAAGTTTTAAACGTGCCCATTGATATTATGGAGCTGGGTTTGCAGCTCCTTGCAGCAGCTGGGAAGAAAGAAGAAAGGGAATAAAATTTCCCTGCCCAACAGCACCTCCTGACTTGGAGCACCATTTCCATCAGTGCCTCCTTCCAGCAAATCCTCTCAGCATCAAATGCATTCACTCCAGCAGTACTAGCTGACCTTTCCACCCAGCCATGCTCTCCTTGGTGTCCAATCCATTGGGCTCATACCTTCAGAAACACATTACTCCATTACCTGGGCCCTCCCACACCTTGTCTGCTCCTTCCCACCTTCCAGTTGGATTCACAACTGAGGAAATGGCCCCAAATTTTCCCATCAACTTTGCACCATGTACAGAGCCTGTGGCATGAGGCGATGGCTCATATTTATTGAGTTAGTTGGCTAGCAGAAGAGGCAACTGAACCTAGAAACACAATTATGTTGCTTTACATGAGTTTACCGTATACATCCTCTGGTGTTGTTCTGTTTGGTGAATTAGGAAATGGGTGTTGAATGTGGTAGTCCATAGCATCCTAATTACTTACGCTGCCAATTTCAGCTTCACAGTCTTCATTCAGTTTCTCCACTTCTGACTTGGAGCAGTTTGTCTTCTGAATATTAAAATGTATCTCATAATTTTTTCCTGCAACGACCTGAAAAAATCAGTCCCAAGGGTTTCCTCAGTAAATATGCATTTTTTCTCATACAGGAATCACAGAAAATAAAAATGCGGTAAAAAGAAGCAGCTGACCAGCAGGGTTGTGAGCATTAAAAATGTCATGATCTACATCCATTTCTGATTGACTTATTTTTTATACTCCATTAGACCTGCTAATATTATCATAGTATTGCAAGCGGAGGAAAAGAACATAAAGGGCAAAATGACATAAGTCTCAGGAATGGTGGTTTACGGGCATGGGACAATATAAAAGAAGACGTTGCAGAAAGGCAAATAAGCAGGATGTTGTAGCTGGTACAGTTTGGACAAGTGGAGAAGAAGATGTTTTTATTTTAATCCTATGCAGCGTATAAACTAATTAGTTTTGTCTCTTTCCCAATTAGATGGGCATTTTTACCTTGAATATGAGTCTCATCAGTCAGGATTTTAATCAGTGTATCTTGCTACAAACAAAGAAGCGTTTGTCAACTGAAAGCTTCAGCAGTGAGTATTAAGATCCCAGCTCCCAGTACTGAAATGATAACTGCTTATAAGTATTAGAATTGTTAAAACAGCACTAAAGGAAAAGAACTGAGTAGAGAGCTTAGAAGAGGTTTGCATTGCTCACAAGGCATTTAGCACAAGATAAATTGTGGTGAATATTCATTATTTTCTGACAATGAGACCTGTTTAGGTCTGCAATAGGAACTATTTATTTATACAGTGCCATAAGTGTGCATTCTCATTTATTGACAAGTTGAAGATAGGGATCAAATTTGGTTACAAATTTGGATTCTGCTCTGCAATTTATAGTGGTGTGAATTTAGAGTAACTCTACTTTTGTGACGTTACAATGGTGTGTTACCAAGAACAGAATTTGGATGCAAGTACTCAGATTATAAAAGGAATAAGGAGGAAATCTATTTTTGAGCCTGTGAAAACTATTGCCAAACAAGGCACCAGAGAATATTATAGGATAGAATGCTGAGCCTGGAGGATGCACTGAATAATCTTACCTAATACCTTACTTTGCAACTTGGACAGCTATAAAATGTTGAGAAAGGTTTGGTAAAGAAGGATGGGGGAAAAAAAGCAGATCCCTGAACCTGTACCTATCCCTAGGGTTTTGGGTCCATGCCATATTGAAATTGAAGGAATGATTTTTTTACTCCCTTTTGGATACAAAGTGAGATGATCGAAATTTTGTGAGTAAGGTGAACCGGTGGTTCAAACTGAGCCTTGATTCAGCTCAGACTTGCAGATATACCACATCCTAGGCCCATCTCTACAACATAGGGAGCGATGAGATTAAATATAACTGAATTTAAAAAGGAAGGTTAAATCCCAACCTGGACTGTGGCGTGGTATACGCTTTTAATTTTATAGTAGAAATCAGTATTGCTCTCTGAATTGTATTTCTCCATGGAAACCTTGAGTACTTCCTCCAGTTCTGGACTGTCAACCGGGATGGGAACTGGACAGCCTGCACAGAATGGTGGGTCTGCAGTTCCCTCATCAGAAAGAAACATTGGGTTACAAATAAATCCAAAGAATAAAACAAGATGCAGTGTGTATTAGGGCTGGGGAACCATCTATTTGGAAATCCATAGCTATCTGAATGGAACGTGTTTTAATAGACTGAACCTAAATATTTTGAGCTTCCGTAGGAGGTATGTGAGAGAAATGTAAATTCAGCAGCTAAGGCTAGATAGGGTATTTGATCAATAATCTGCTTCTCCTAGAAGTGAGAGTTGTGTACACAAAGTATATTTGGTGGAGAAGACAGATACAGACTCATTTGCAACTAGGTGAGGGCTGGATTAGAGGAAATGAGACAACATCCAGTCTTGAAAGCTCTGAGTGTACATTATAAGGCATGACCAACTGTATTTTTAAGAATATCATAAGCATTATTTGAAGGAGAACACGTCTGGGGGTATGTCCACCTTGCACTCAGTGACTGTAAAGTAGTCATTGTTTAATCAGGTAGAGGTGGGAACTTTTACCCCCTGAAAAGTTTGTAAGGTATCAAACTTAAAAATAAAATTAAGGACATGAAATACAAATGGTGGCAACACTGCACATTAGTGAACAAGCTCTGGGAACCAGCTGGGATGGATGTGGCTGTATAGTTTGAGAAGGGGATATACATAGAAAATCTAGTTTTGACCATGTTGTTCCATGTCTATCTTTTTGTTCACATCTGTATCTTTGTGTAGGCCCTCCATGGTGGACTTCTCTGCCATGTGGGAGGTGGGACTGGAGCTCCTTGGCAAATCTAGATTTTCTGCAAGCATATCTGAAAAATCACTTAGTGAAGATGAATGGTGTGACATTAATGTCTGTTGAAAGGTCCTCTTCTGGCAGTGATGGTAGAAAGGAGTAAGGAAGTTGATTCTACCTTTAAGTAAAGTTTAGGGTGCTTATACACGTGGCGCCATTACCATGTACATGGGATGACAATGTCACTTTGTATGGCTTAATGACGTCACCCTGTATACATGCAAGAGTTTTGGGGGTTTACAATGAGTTTGCAATGTTGCAAATTGCAACAATGCTGTTGTTAGCTTGCCCTCTGGTTGTAGGAGGGACAGGCAAGCTCTGCAGAAAATAAGGATCAGGCTCCTTGCTGCTTCTGCCTTCAGCAGTCTCCTGCAGCTGGCAGAACACATGTGGCCACCTGAGAATGGGCTGGCTTGCCCCTGGGGCAGTGTGGGAAGACAGCAGGATGGTGGCTGGGTTTGCTAGAAGCTGGAGAAGGCTTCGGGGCTGGTGCACAGGGTGCTGGAAAAATTGAAACAGTGTGCAAAATCACTGTTTCAGTTTAGGGGGAAGAAAAGAAAACGGTGAGGACTAAACCTCTGTTGTGTGTACAAGTGGCTTAGGTGAAAAATCATGCTGTTGAAGCTGCTCTGGAGACCTTTATAGTGGGGCTGACTCTGAGATCATCCAGGCCATTGCTATACGGAGCCCAGTGGCCAGCCCAACATGCCATAGTAGACAGAAGGTGGACAGATCAGAGATAACAACTTTCCCTGCTGTTTTACCTACTTTTAGAAAATGAGAAAATGTTGTATTAATATTTCCCGGTGGGAGGGGAAAAGACCTTTGATTTTTTTTTTCTTGCCCAGCATCATGTCTCCTCTCATTATTTTCTCAATGCCTTTGCATTTTGATTACACATTAATTTGGAATCGTAACACATCAGCTGGAGTTTCACCACCTTCCCGATGATGGTAATCTCCACATACCTGGAAACATGCATTTCTCTATGATGCTTGCAATTGTGTTGTTGAGATCCACAAAAGCCTTGGCTTCACAGCGACCTTCAAGCTGCATTTCAAAAAGAAACAACAGTTCTTAAGAATACTGTACTCATGTAAATGTCCCAGTGCCCCTGCTTATAGGGGAAAAAGACTTTGAGCTTGATTAGATAGCTATGAATGCTACTGACTGCCTTTGGCTTCTGTGAGAGTGTAAGGTGATTGCAAGGTGATTAAGCCTTTGAGAACCAAGTCCTTAGGCTGTGCCCTGAGCTGTTGCCTTTCGTGGTTTGGAGCACACAGTAGTAGACCTTGCAGCAGAAGATAACGATTCAGATGCATTAGTTTGAGGGTAGTACAGCTGCAGATCTGTTGACAAGACCTGCCAATCCCTAACAAGTGCTACACAGAACCATAGACTCACAGAACATGAAGGTTGGAAGGGACCTCCGGAGGTCACATCTAGTGCAACCCCCTGCTCAAAGCAGGACCGGCCCCAACTACATCATCCCAGCCAAAGCTTTGTCTACCTGGGTCTTAAAACACATGTGGCCACCTGAGAATGGGCTGGCTTGCCCCTGGGGCAGTGTGGGAAGACAGCAGGATGGTGGCTGGGTTTGCTAGAAGCTGGAGAAGGCTTCGGGGCTGGTGCACAGGGTGCTGGAAAAATTGAAACAGTGTGCAAAATCACTGTTTCAGTTTAGGGGGAAGAAAAGAAAACGGTGAGGACTAAACCTCTGTTGTGTGTACAAGTGGCTTAGGTGAAAAATCATGCTGTTGAAGCTGCTCTGGAGACCTTTATAGTGGGGCTGACTCTGAGATCATCCAGGCCATTGCTATACGGAGCCCAGTGGCCAGCCCAACATGCCATAGTAGACAGAAGGTGGACAGATCAGAGATAACAACTTTCCCTGCTGTTTTACCTACTTTTAGAAAATGAGAAAATGTTGTATTAATATTTCCCGGTGGGAGGGGAAAAGACCTTTGATTTTTTTTTTCTTGCCCAGCATCATGTCTCCTCTCATTATTTTCTCAATGCCTTTGCATTTTGATTACACATTAATTTGGAATCGTAACACATCAGCTGGAGTTTCACCACCTTCCCGATGATGGTAATCTCCACATACCTGGAAACATGCATTTCTCTATGATGCTTGCAATTGTGTTGTTGAGATCCACAAAAGCCTTGGCTTCACAGCGACCTTCAAGCTGCATTTCAAAAAGAAACAACAGTTCTTAAGAATACTGTACTCATGTAAATGTCCCAGTGCCCCTGCTTATAGGGGAAAAAGACTTTGAGCTTGATTAGATAGCTATGAATGCTACTGACTGCCTTTGGCTTCTGTGAGAGTGTAAGGTGATTGCAAGGTGATTAAGCCTTTGAGAACCAAGTCCTTAGGCTGTGCCCTGAGCTGTTGCCTTTCGTGGTTTGGAGCACACAGTAGTAGACCTTGCAGCAGAAGATAACGATTCAGATGCATTAGTTTGAGGGTAGTACAGCTGCAGATCTGTTGACAAGACCTGCCAATCCCTAACAAGTGCTACACAGAACCATAGACTCACAGAACATGAAGGTTGGAAGGGACCTCCGGAGGTCACATCTAGTGCAACCCCCTGCTCAAAGCAGGACCGGCCCCAACTACATCATCCCAGCCAAAGCTTTGTCTACCTGGGTCTTAAAACAAACTTCAAGGATGGAGAGTCCACCACCTCTCAATTCCAGTGTTTTACTGCCCTATTATTTTACCCCACTATATGTGGTCAGCTCATAAGGTTGCTTAACAGTTGAGCAGCTAAATGGTTGAGACCTAGTACTACAGGGCATGTGATCAGTCTAACAGTTGAGGGAGCTTAGCTGAATTCATGAATCCTTTGAGAGAGTTGGAAATGGAGGCTCAAACAGATGAAGTGATGAGCTTAAGGTTAACTAGCAAGTCTGTAATGCCAGGACATGGACCCAGATAGTCCAACAGTCACTTCTTTATCAATTCAGAACAGTGTGGTCTCATCCCTTCTCCTTCCAGACAACACTTCTGAAGAGGGCACGTCCCCTCAATAATTTGTGAACAGCAATCATAGAGACATTCTGCAGTGACACTTATCTGCTACACATACATTTTGCTGAGACATAAGTAGCTTGTGGTAGCCTGCTCATTACTGTCCACAAAATGATTTTGGCAATGGTAGGGATGAAGAGGGCATTCTGCTCGAGAATGCTTAGAATCATAGAAGATTAAGTTTGGCAGGGACCTCAACCCCCTGCTCCAAGTAGGACCATCCCCAACTAGATCATTCCAGCCAGGGCTTTGTCGTGATGGGCCTTACAAACCTCCAAGGTTGGAGAACCCACCACCTCGCTAGGTAATCCATTGCAGTACTTCACCACCCTCCCAGTGAGAAAGTTTTTCCTAATATACAATCTAAACCACCCGTGCTGAAACTGCAGACCATTGTTCCTTGTCCTGTCATCTGCCACCACTGGGAATGGTCTCACTCCATCCCCTTTGGAAGCACCCTTCAGCTAATTAAAGGCTGCTATCAAATCCCCCACTGGTCTTCTCTTCTAAAGACTAAATAAGCCCCACTTGCATTAGCCCCTCTCCTGATGGAAATGCTTCTGGGCAAGCCAGCTGGGGACTCAGTGCTGCATAGCTGAAATATGTATTTACTTATTATTTCCAGCAAACCTTTCCTGCTCAGATGCTATGCAGAACAATGGGAATTTGGCTACTTAGTTTCCTTAGGAACTATCTGCCTGAAACTACTTAAAGTGTTTGCCATTTTAATGACGACTTTACTGCTTTCCCCGGCTGAGTTCTTGGCCAGGATCTTCTTGAAAATAAAGCTTTATTGGTTTAATGAGACTCTTCTGGTCGCCTAGGTGAACCTGCAGACATTTCAAGAGCCCTGATTCAGCATAGTACTTAAAATGCTGCTTCCTGTTCAGTACCATCCATGAGCAAATGTTTAACTTTACACCTATGCTGAAGTCCCACTGACCTAAAGATGAGCAAGCATTTAACTATTTTGCAGAATCAGAATCTTTGTTGTCGTTCTTATTTCCTAACGTGTATATTCAGCTATACATGAAGATTACTTACGGCTCCAAAACTAGGCTTGCACTCTGCGTGTAAATCCTGATATTCATGCTTTGAGCAATTTGTCTCTTTGATCTTATATTCAACTTCGTAGTTTATTCCGTCTACCACCTAGAACAGATATTCAGGAGATTTCTCAAATGCTTCAGTAAGTCTTTGAGGAATAAAATTATTACATGAAGTCACCAAACGGACAGCAAGATCATACCATTTTTGCAGGGCCTTCCATTCAAGGCTTTCACTCATGCTGCAGTTTGTAAGCCTCATCAAACCCCAGCACAGCGGGAAAATATGATCCTTGTTTTGCACAGGGAAGGAAGTAGAAAGCAGACCAGCAGATCATGCTGGTGAGTGGGATTGGAGTGGCACTTGGGGAGGGTGCAGGGCTAATTGGTTGCATGCCTGCCAAACAGGTTGCCCCTCACTGCCATAAACACCTCCGTTGCTAACAGTATGCATTGACAAGAGGAACAGCTGAGGTAACACTGAACATTGCTCAAAGACAAACCATGCTTAGTAACAGTCTAGTAGAGTCCATAGCTAGAAGCACAGACAGTCTGGTGTTCAACAATGTGTGCCTCAGTTTCCCCTTCTATAGAAGTGAAAAGTGCTGTATAGCTTTGATTATAAGTCTACCTTTTCCCCCCCAGAAGAGGCATAAAAATTGCCCTTGACTTCTATGCAGCATGAACCTAAAACCAGCCTGCTGACAATCGGACTTCCATTGCACTGTATTATTTGATGTTTGGTTTACCTTAAAAAAATCAACCAATATTCAAGAGATTTTTTTCCCTCCAATTAAATCTGAGAACATGGGTTAGGCTCATATGCAAGATTGACTTATAATTGGAACAATACAGTACTATTTGTACAGCACACATCTTATGACTGTGAACTATAACAGAAAAATGTAATAAAAACAAGGAATATGTGCATAGGAGGAGCCAAAGTACTATCTTCTCTAAAATGAAGGAAAAATCCAATATACCAACCTGACTCGTGGCTTTTATTATTTCACCAACATCATAAAGGAAGCGTTTCACACTTCTTTTGTTGAAGTTTTGAACAGCAAGCTTCAGAATGGGTAGCAAATCTGGGCTGTCGCTCCCAATGGGATGTTTGCATCCAACACACATACGAGCTGAAAAACAAACCAACCAAAAAATTAATGAGATTTTCTCCAAGAAACAGCTTCACTTATTGGAGTAGTCTCAAAGGGTTGTTGTAGCCATGATAGTACAAGATGCATATGGAGGAAGGGTTCTTTGGTTCTATCTTTTTTTGGATCAACCGCATAGTTGGGAGGGATATTAGACAAGCTTTGGGGCACTATGGACATTTATACGCATGTTCCGGGAGGGGGTGCTCGAATTCGAGCAGCTCCAAGAGCCGCTATCACGAAATCCCCTTGCTTCTCGCTTACTAGACGTTAGTGAACTCTTAGTGCCATAGTGGGCTGGAAGAGTCCTTATGAGACTACCTAGTTTAACCCTCTGCCCAAGGCCCGTGTCTAAATGATCCCAGCCAAGTGTCTGTCTATCCTGCTCTTAACAGCATCCAAGGAGAGAGATCCCACAACCTCTCTAGGTAATTTATTTCAGTATTTAATCACCTTCCCAGTTACCAAAGTCTTCCTACTGTACAACCCAAATCTCCCTTCTTGCCAATTATTATTTGTCACGCCCCCTGCGGATACAGAGAATAGGTGATCACTCTCCTATTTATATCCATCCTTTTTATGATTGAAGACAGTTATTGAACGCTTGCTTGGTTTAAGGTGGTGAGAATCTTGACTCCCTTCAAATAGACAGCAAAATACAGCTCCAGATGCAAGTCCCTGGAGGGACATATAGACTTTCAGCTTTGGTTCATTACAGCAAAATTGGGATCCACATCTGGAATCAGATACTAGGCCCTTCGGCCCTACTTTTCTGGAGTCTTGGAATCTAAGATTTAGTTTTAGGCTCTTCTCTATTTGTAATAAGAAAATATAAGACATAGCTCTGACGACATGTGAGAAAGGGTGTCATTTATCAGCAATGGATAAGAGAATGGCAAAAGTCAGCAGCAGGGCCAGATTAACCCTTTAGTGGGCTCAAGGGCAAAAAAACCTGTGGACCCCTACTTAATACTGTATATTTCCATATCTTTTATTCACTCAATAATTATAATATGTAAAATAAGCACAACTGGGTCCCTTTTTTCCTTAGCGCCCTAGGCATGTGCCTAGTTTGTCTATGCATTAATCTGGCCCTAGCTACCAAATATGCCTGTTACCGTTGCAATAAAGTGAGATTTCCCTGAGGTCTGGTTTTACTGGACAGCTTATAATCTATGGAGATCTTAAACTCGCCGCCAAGCATTAACATTTCAACTGGCAGTTTTTCTGGTGAGCCCCCATGATGTAGAGCTTCCGTACAGTTTTACATTCAGCTGCTCAACAGACATATTGGCTAGGGACAGACATTACACATAAACTGGTTTAGGTGATCATAAACTGGTTTAAACCTGTAACAGAAGAGATGTTCAGTGCACATAAGCTAGCTTGAGAATGGCTGAAACTGGTTTCAGATAAACCTGATTGAATGTAGTATCATAGATCCACAGACTCATAGATGCTAGGGTTGGAAGGGACCTCAACAGACCATCGAGTCCGACCCCCTGCCTAGGCAGGGAAGAGTGCTGGGGTCAGATGACCCCAGTCGGATGCCTATCCAGCCTTCTCTTAAAGACCCCAAGGTAGGGGAGAGCACCACCTCCCTTGGAAGCCCAACCAGACTTAACTGATTTGGCTCAAACCGGGTTATGCAGTGTCTGTCCCAGACCCCTTGCTGGTTTAAATGAACTCAGACTCCCCCAGCATCCCAGCATGCTCTCTGGGCAGGGCTCTCTGCTCCACAGCAGAGCTGGCCCGTCTTCTCTGCTCCCTGTCTGGAGCTCTGACAGTCTCTGCAGACATCTGCCTGGCTTCTGCTCCCCGTTCCCTCACCACTGTCTGCTAAGCAGGCATTCCCCCATCCCTCACAGACACCTCTCAGCATTGGCTAGCAGACCACGTGCTGGCTACTTCCGAGCTGATGCACATGAAAGAAAGGCAGAATCACCAGATAGCTGGTAGTGTTTTCTTAATGGGGGGAGAAGCACAGAGTTAGGGGTGATAAACATCCCCTGTTGGGCTGCTGAGGAGGAGGGCAGCACCCTCCCCAATCAGAGCGTCAACTTTCAGGCTTCACCATGTTGGGCTAGTTTTGACTAAAAGCCTAGATGGAGGAGGCTCTAGACTGTGTTCCCTACCACTAATCCTATTCCCCCTCTTTCCTGCCTGATAACAATGGGCTGGATTTTCATACATTCATTTCATAGTTCAATGCATAAATTAATTTCATAATTCAGTGAATTTGCGAATCAAAGTGAGTATTAGATCTCTATGGAATTCAGGTAGTGTTTGTGGGCCTGATCCTCACCTGATGTAAACTGGCTACAGTGGAACAATTTAAGGACACGGTAGAACTGTTCCAGTATTAATGGCTGAACAATGTGGTGCTCACATATGAGAGACTGAGCTGTGAAATCATTCACCAGGCAGAACCCATTGCTATTGACCTCTTTCCACAGGAATCTCTGGAGGAGATTCTGCTTTCAATGGCAATGCGGATTATCTCCAGCATGTACATGTTGTAGGTACTCCTGATTCACATCAGAGTAGCAGATCAGAATCTGACCCTTCAGATTCTTGCCTGCCAGTGGCATGGCGAAGCAGTTATATCCGTTACAAAAAGCCACAATGCTATTTTCAGTGAGCAGTCAGAAAGCAGACAGAGCAAGACACAGCATGCATCCTGTTCTAAAGAGGCTATGGTTTTATTTCTTTTCATGAGCTGTGAACAAACTTGTACATTTTTTCCTCAGGTTGGTAAAAGAGCTCTGCTTCCCATGCTACCTGGCTGAGATATTGAATTCAAATTTATATTTTTATTTTTCCAAGTGGAGACTCAAATGCATACTTCACTTGACTCCTCTGTGGAACACACCTACCTCTCATTATGGAATACACATACTTCTCATTAACTTTACTGGCACCTAGATGTCACCATTGCCCTGCAAATGCATCTGAAATCAAATAGGATTTAGTTGGCAGTAAAACCTGGAGATTGTCTATCCTGCAATCACTGCACACACTGAAGCTAGCTTTAAACTAGCTGGCTTGGGTATTCCTAGTAATATAGCCACAGGAACATGGGGCTCAGGGTAAGCTGCAAAACTCGTATGTACTTGGCTGGGTAGCCTACTATGAGCTCTGTGCTGCTGCAGCTGTATTGGTAGCAGTCCCTAAAGTTTATTAGCTTCAATCACTGCCATGACTGCAGTGTGAACATCCCTCTGGATACTTAAAGAAAGAACCCCAGCTCTGATGCATTCGAGCCTGGTAACTCTTTTCCAATAAGGGCATGTATTCCAGAGGCATTCCATGGATATCCATCTGGATGTGTAGATTATAAGCAGTCAGTGTAATGCCAATCAAGTGGACTAGTCAAGGCCCTTTGAAAAGGCCTTTTTCAGATGATATCACCATCTTTTGATGATTCCACCATTGTCAGGCATTTATGCTGGAGGATACATTTTTTCATTTTTTTTCTCTGTGAAGCCTCTTTTTTGGGACAAGTTTCAGTAAAATGAGCACAGCCCTTTATGAACTGGAAGACAATGAGAAACTACAATGTCATCATACAACAAAGATTCTTGTCATTTCAGTACTTGTGAATAAACTTAAAATTTGACAACAGGGAAGCCAATCCCTAGGTCATAGATGTGCCTTTAGGCCAGTGAAAATCCTTTTTGATTTGGTAGAGAGCTAAGGGTTTCAGAGATACTTTAGTCAGATGCTTTGGGTTTCTTTACACAAAGCCAATTTTTACTAATAATCTGCTGGTGTACCATTGACACAACAAATACATGAATAAGAAGGAAGAGCAGAATTTAATTTTTAATATATGGTGGCCCATGATAAATGATTTAAGAGGTTCTCAATGGAATGATGCAATGCTCCTTCCTTTAAAATTACCAAAAAATCTCAATATAGGTTCTCTTGCCATCTCTTTTCTTTTTTTATTTGTTTTACTCTTTGCTTATCTAAAGTCCCCCTGGACCGTAACATACCTGGGATGATTTTACATTCCTGTGAAACATTACTGATTTTCTGGGTCTTGTCAATGTAAACTTCAGCTGTACATTCTCCTGTTTCCTGCAAACACAGATGACACCATTTGGTTTTAATGTACCTGATGCAGAAATCCAGTTAGCACCACATATACTGCTGGGAAATATTCCTGAGGTATTTTGTTGAAACAGAATACAGTTGGCAAGCATAACCTGTGCTTAGCGGATAAGAGCAATACAGGCTGACATGAGCAATCATAGTTGTTCATGAAGGAGTTTCAATTTTACTGTCTAAATTAGTCCAAGGTTTTGCTGTGGAAGGGGTGGGTTGGCTGATCACAGGAAAGCGGGAGCTGGGCTAAGCAGGTAGTATGAAAGGTATCTTTTGTTTTATGATTAACAAATGTTGGAATCTCTACTATTATATTGAAACTGTCTTTCTTAATTAGCTAATGCACCTGGAATGCATGCAGGGAACACATTTCAATAAATAAAGGATGCCTCATTTGCAAACGTAAACAGGGGCTAAAGCCGCCCCCTGCTAGCACAGAATCTGGGTCTCATGGGGCAGCTGGGCTCACAGCACGTCACGGTGATTCAGGTGGGACCTGAGGTTCTTGGAGGAGGGGCTAAATATGAATCAAACAGGTACTGAGGTGTACTGAATCCTATGGCTTCCCTATTTACAGCCTGTCCCTGGGACGGGCTGGCTGCAAGTCTCCACTGGAGGGAAGGTTGAGATTCTTTGTACTGCTACCAGGCCCTCCTGGTGAATATTCTGCCCCTCTTCTACCCAGGGTGGTTTTTACTGGTACAGGAGTCAATTTGCTCTCATAAGAAGGGATCCTGGTTTTCTCTGATTTAAAAATATCCCCAATTTTCAGTTAAAAAAAAGTACTCCCTGATCTAGCACCGGGGATGGGAAGTCAGTCCAACTGGGCTAACTTCCCCTCTCCGGCCCGATCTAGTGCCTGGGACGGGAAGTCAGCCCAGCTGGGCTGACTTCCCGTCCCAGGCACTAGATCGGGCCGGAGAGGGGAAGTTAGCCCAGTTGGACTGACTTCCCATCCCCGGTGCTAGATCAGGGAGTACTTTTTTTTAACTGAAAATTGGGGATATTTTTAAATCAGAGAAAACCAGGATCCCTTCTTATGAGAGCAAATTGACTCCTGTACCAGTAAAAACCACCCTGGGTAGAAGAGGGGCAGAATATTCACCAGGAGGGCCTGGTGGCAGTACAAAGAATCTCAACCTTCCCTCCAGTGGAGACTTGCAGCCAGCCCGTCCCAGGGACAGGCTGTAAATAGGGAAGCCATAGGATTCAGTACACCTCAGTACCTGTTTGATTCATATTTAGCCCCTCCTCCAAGAACCTCAGGTCCCACCTGAATCACCGTGACGTGCTGTGAGCCCAGCTGCCCCATGAGACCCAGATTCTGTGCTAGCAGGGGGCGGCTTTAGCCCCTGTTTACGTTTGCAAATGAGGCATCCTTTATTTATTGAAATGTGTTCCCTGCATGCATTCCAGGTGCATTAGCTAATTAAGAAAGACAGTTTCAATATAATAGTAGAGATTCCAACATTTGTTAATCATAAAACAAAAGATACCTTTCATACTACCTGCTTAGCCCAGCTCCCGCTTTCCTGTGATCAGCCAACCCACCCCTTCCACAGCAAAACCTTGGACTAATTTAGACAGTAAAATTGAAACTCCTTCATGAACAACTATGATTGCTCATGTCAGCCTGTATTGCTCTTATCCGCTAAGCACAGGTTATGCTTGCCAACTGTATTCTGTTTCAACAAAATACCTCAGGAATATTTCCCAGCAGTATATGTGGTGCTAACTGGATTTCTGCATCAGGTACATTAAAACCAAATGGTGTCATCTGTGTTTGCAGGAAACAGGAGAATGTACAGCTGAAGTTTACATTGACAAGACCCAGAAAATCAGTAATGTTTCACAGGAATGTAAAATCATCCCAGGTATGTTATGGTCCAGGGGGACTTTAGATAAGCAAAGAGTAAAACAAATAAAAAAAGAAAAGAGATGGCAAGAGAACCTATACTGAGATTTTTTGGTAATTTTAAAGGAAGGAGCATTGCATCATTCCATTGAGAACCTCTTAAATCATTTATCATGGGCCACCATATATTAAAAATTAAATTCTGCTCTTCCTTCTTATTCATGTATTTGTTGTGTCAATGGTACACCAGCAGATTATTAGTAAAAATTGGCTTTGTGTAAAGAAACCCAAAGCATCTGACTAAAGTATCTCTGAAACCCTTAGCTCTCTACCAAATCAAAAAGGATTTTCACTGGCCTAAAGGCACATCTATGACCTAGGGATTGGCTTCCCTGTTGTCAAATTTTAAGTTTATTCACAAGTACTGAAATGACAAGAATCTTTGTTGTATGATGACATTGTAGTTTCTCATTGTCTTCCAGTTCATAAAGGGCTGTGCTCATTTTACTGAAACTTGTCCCAAAAAAGAGGCTTCACAGAGAAAAAAAATGAAAAAATGTATCCTCCAGCATAAATGCCTGACAATGGTGGAATCATCAAAAGATGGTGATATCATCTGAAAAAGGCCTTTTCAAAGGGCCTTGACTAGTCCACTTGATTGGCATTACACTGACTGCTTATAATCTACACATCCAGATGGATATCCATGGAATGCCTCTGGAATACATGCCCTTATTGGAAAAGAGTTACCAGGCTCGAATGCATCAGAGCTGGGGTTCTTTCTTTAAGTATCCAGAGGGATGTTCACACTGCAGTCATGGCAGTGATTGAAGCTAATAAACTTTAGGGACTGCTACCAATACAGCTGCAGCAGCACAGAGCTCATAGTAGGCTACCCAGCCAAGTACATACGAGTTTTGCAGCTTACCCTGAGCCCCATGTTCCTGTGGCTATATTACTAGGAATACCCAAGCCAGCTAGTTTAAAGCTAGCTTCAGTGTGTGCAGTGATTGCAGGATAGACAATCTCCAGGTTTTACTGCCAACTAAATCCTATTTGATTTCAGATGCATTTGCAGGGCAATGGTGACATCTAGGTGCCAGTAAAGTTAATGAGAAGTATGTGTATTCCATAATGAGAGGTAGGTGTGTTCCACAGAGGAGTCAAGTGAA